GGGATTAAAGGCATGCATCACCATGCCCAGCTCAAAGAGCTCTTGTTAATGTAGACTGTATCTGCTAACATTACCATATAGGAATTAAAATAAAGATAAAAATATTTATTTATTTATTCATTAAAAGATAACCATAATATACTCATTACATGTTAACCTAATGTTCTTATGACAATTGTTTCCAAAATAAAAAAAGTATCTGCCAGGTATGGTGGTGCACGCCTTTACTCCCAACACTTGGGAGGCAAAGGCAGGCAGATCTCTGTGAGTTCAAGGCCAGCCTGGTCTACATAGTTCCAGGCCATTTCAGGCTACAGGGAGACCCTGTCTCAAAAAGACCAAAAAATAAAAAAATAAAAATTAAAGTATCTGTTTTAAGGTAAGTATCATTGATTTATATTCTTACAATTCTCTTTTATGCTTGATTTAATAGAAATATTTGCTTCCTTTTCAATTCTGTTTTAATATGTTGTTTTGTTTGAAATAAATGTAAAAACTCTGGCATAATACAGTTATGTAGTTGGAGTTACAAGCAGCTGTGAGCTACAAAGTAGGTGCTGGAACTGAACCTGCCTCCTCTGCAAAAGCAGTAAATGCTCTTAGCCGCTGAGCCTCTCTCCAACCCAAATATTTGTCTTCTAAAACTATATCAGTGAGGTTTTGCACTCTGTTATAGTGAGATTCATTGGTATATCTTATGTTTCAGTGATTTTTTTGAGAAAGTACTCATTCCATTTATTACTTGAATGAATGACAAAATAATTTCATACAGCAATCTTTAAATGCCTTAAAATGATGATAGCCGGTTCTTCAAATTTCATAATGGCCTTATCCTTCCTATTGCTCTAGCTTCTAAAAAGCTTCATGATTCCATTAAAGCAATGTCCAGCCGGGTGTGGTGGCTCACGCCTTTAATCCCAGCACTCGGGAGGCAGAGGCAGGCAGAGCTCTGTGAGTTCAAGGCCAGTTCAAGGCCAGTTCAAGGCCAGTTCAAGGTCTACATAGCAAGTTACAGACCAGTTGGGGCTATGGGGAGACCCTGTCTCAAAAAGACCTCCCCCCAAATTTTATGTCCATGGTAAATAAATAACTGGCATTATAAAATTCTCTTAGTTCACACAAGGTACATTCCTATCAGGTTTACCTTGCTGCCAAATGTCTAAACTGAAACAAACAAAAAATTTATATTACCCTCTGGGCATTCTTTATGGTCTGCAGGTTTCCTAATTACTGAGTGGAAAACCCTAATATTCGAAAGTGTTTGTATTTTGACAGACAGGAATATGGAAACCTGCAGAACACTTTCTTCACAGAGGAAGAAATCTGTTTCCAAAAGGAAGACATCATGGTCATAAGTTTGAGTGGATCTTTTATCCACATAAGACCTTAACATTATCATGTGTTGGTCATTTGAAATACATTGACTTGCTGAGTTATGTACATCTTCTAAATATTGACAGATAGTCATTGTGCAACATAAAAATCAGATCTTTTTTATATCACCACTCATCTCATTAAAAAAAAATTAAGCATCGGGAAACATCAAACTCATGGTGGACAGGTAAAATTTTTTGAAAATTCTGTTTTGAGGAGACACTGTTCAGTATCAAACTTAGAGCCTTGTACATGCTAAACCTATCTTCTACCACTGAGCTGTATCTCCAGCCCCTAATCATAATTTTTATGTTTTTCTTGGAAACTGAAATGTTATCAATAATTATCAGTTGCTTTCCTGAAATGATAGGCTTACTTTCTGCCACCCAGGGTGATACACACCTATAATCCCAGCACTCAGGGTAGAGGCAGGAAGATCAGGAATTCAAGGTCAACTTTGGCTACATAATGAGGCTGAGGCAAGCCTGGGCTACATAAGCCCCTGCCTTATAAAACAAAACAAACAAGATTTAAAAGTCTGTTAAATAGTCAATCTGAATAACCATTGTTTATCAGGGTTTTTTTTCCCCCAAGTAAAAATGATGTTTCATTAAAAAATGCTTTGGGAATGGTAAGATAACTCTGAAGGAAAAGGTGCCTGGCACTAAACCTGACACCTGAGTTTGATTCCTAGGACCCACACGGTGGAAGCAGAGAACCAATTCCCTGAAGTTGTCCTCTGATCTCCACATGTGCACTATGGCACATGTGCAACCACTCATGCACACAACACACACACACACACACACACACACACACACACACCTGTGCACATACACTTAAAATACAAACTTTTTTCTTAAAAAGTGGCTGCTAGTTCATGGGGCTGGAGAGATAGCTCAGGGGTTAAAAGCAGCTCCTCTTGGAGAGGACTTCGGTTCTGTTCCCAGCACTACATGGTAACCAACAACCATCCATAATTACAGTTCCAGGGGATCTGACACTCTCTTCTGGCCTCTGTGGGAATTGCATGCTCATGGTACACTTAAATACATTCAGGCAAAACATTCATGCACATAATATAAAAAAAATTTTAAGTGTCTAGGTTACCTTACAACTCAATCACACAAGTGTTTCTTACCTCCACTGCTCTTCAGTGTATAGAAGAGCAGAAACACTTTATGCATACTTTCCATTTAGTCATGCGATAGGAAAAGAAATGTACTGAAGGATCAAGTTTTAAAAAATCGCTGGGCATGGTGGCGCACACGTTTAGTCCCAGCACTTGGGAGGCAGAGGCAGGCAGATCTCTGTGAGTTGGAAGACAGCCTGGTCTCCATAGTGAATCCAGGCCAGCTGCGGCTACAGGGAGACCCTGTATCAAAAAGACAAAAAAAAAAAAAAAAAATCACAGTTACTGTTGGTCAAGGGCTTTTTTTTGTTTTTGTTTTGAGACAGGATCTCCCTATGTAGTCCTAGGCTGTTTTCAGACTTCCTTAGGATCCTCCTGCCAAGTGTTGGAATTACTAGTGGCTACTACATCTGGCTAAGGACATTTTTAAGTAACACTGGCTTTAAAAAAAAAAAACAAACTTAAAACTTATAATCAGTGAGGAATGCAATGACTTCTGGTGAAACCTGATGCCACTACCTTGATTCATCTTCCTTAAAGGTCAGCAAGTTTTCATCATCCTTAGGAGACAGTGGGGTTCCACTTTAGTGTCATAACTGCAAAGTCAACAAAAGGCAATTAATATCTTCTTTTTGTTCTGAAAATAATCCTTTAGAAAATAGTTTTGACTTTGTGGACCCCTGTGTGTGTTTCAGGGAGCGTTAGGGGCCTAGAGACCACACTTTGGGAGCTGCTGCTTTGTAAGGGTGTCTTCATTTGCTTTGAGGCGGTTTCTTCCTGGAGGACTTTCCTTTTTTATGCATATGTCTCTGCTTTTCCCTTTTTCTTATAATGTTCTTCATTGAAAACTTTACTGCAACATTTTTTTGTGGCTCTTCAAGTGCAGAGAGAAAACTGGGCCAAAATAGCTTTCTAGTCACAAGGATTTCAGAGCTCCCTCTTCTGTTGGGTTCAGAAAGTACTGGAACATATGACCTTATGCTGCCTGAGCTCTGCCATCTCGGCTTCCCTCCCTGACACCTGTCTGCATCTTCCCTGTCTTCAGTTGTTACTATCATTTCTATTTCATTCTATCTGGATTCTGATTACACTAATCTCTCCCAGGTACGGCTCTTGTCTTGAATGAGATCCTCAGTGTATGACTTTTAAAGGTTTGAGGCCCAAACTGTGCCAGCACCTTAAAATGCTATTTCAATGGAATTCTCTGGCACTTACCTACAAGCCAGATTGCTGGATTTTGTAGAACCCTCTTCTACTTTTGGTTGCTGTTCTCAGTTTGACCCACCAAACTTGCTAGAATTTATATTCACAATTTGAGATTCATTCTTTTTCAATACAGTTAGAAATCTAGCTGAATTTACTTAATTATACTCAAATTTTTTATTTTTCCTCTCTATATCTTGAAATTTTTCCTTATGATAATCTACGAATAGACCTCATTCTTTTAGTTGACTTCATAACAGTAATTAATACATATCACTTATAAGCCATGTGCCATACATTTGGTTGGGGGGGGGTCTTGGCAAATAGTATATCACTGAGATACATTCCCCAGTCCTATGGGCACTAAGTTTTATACATACATTAATCCTTACAACATCCTATGAGTTAAGCTAAGCACAACTATTTCCTTCATGTTACAGAAGAGGAAACTCATACAAAGGGAGATTAAACTACTAGGACATGATCACAGATGTTATACATTGTCTTTTGTATTAATGCACTGTTATTTGGACAGTTAGTCTAATACTGTCTCCATCTAAGGGACCCCTTAACAGTTTCATCTGTTATTTATTTGTTTATTTATTTGTTTGTTTATTTATTTATTTATTTATAGACATTGCCTCACTATGTAGCCCTGACTGACCTGGAACTCTCTGTGTAGACCAGGGTGGCTTAGAACTCAGAGATCCTCCTGTCTCTCTCTCCCAAGCGCTGGGATTGAAGGCATGCACTGCCCACCTGGCTTGCTTGATTGCTTTTTTTTTTTGGTCTTTTTTGAGACAGGGTCTCCCTATAGCCACAGCTAGCATGAATTCACTATGGAGACCAGGCTGGGCTTAAACTCACAGAGATCTGCCTGCCTGCCTCCACCCTCCACCTCCTGAGTGCTGGGATTAAAGACATGTGCCAGAGGACAATAAATTTTGTTTTGAGAACTAACTTTTAGGGACTTGCACTACAAGTTCAAGGTAATTAGGAAAACCCAAGAGCTCTATGATACTGAGGTTTAATATCATTGTATCAGATCATATTGTTGCTTTTTAAAAGAGCGGATCTTTTTTGTGAAAGTTTCATCTACAGCTTATTGTTATTTTTCCAAAATGGACAATTATCATGTCCCACTAGGCATAAAGGCAAAAGATCTGATTTATTGAGCCATAGATATCATACCCTTCACAGATTGGTTATGGGAGGGAGAAAAGCCTGTTTTTACTGACTGCTGTTTATTCAATCAGAGATCATAACATATTTAGTGATGGTCTCTTTTCAGAACTGGTGGAGTCTCTTTCATTGCAGGGATCTTATGCTGGAAAAATCCATTCCATTGGTGATGCCTTTAGAAACTTTAAAAAATCTCCGATCCTTAGATTTATCAAAGAATTTGATCACTAGCCTAAAGGTAGGTTCTATATTCCATGACCAGCCAGGTCAACTCAATTTATATCCTCACAAGAGGAAATAAGAGAAAATATAAGCCTGGAAGTATAGGGTCTTCCTTTTAATTAATTTCCAAGTACATTTTATTATTTTCTATAAAATCTTTTCACTTTATGTTTAAAATTATTCCTTACAAAATATTGGGTAAAATTTATTGTTTACTCAGGAAAAATTATATTAAAGCTTGATTTAAAAAAAAAAAAAACATTAAGACGGGGCTGGAGAGATGGCACAATGGTTAAGAGCACTAGCTGCTCTTACAGAGGACCCAGGTTCAGTTCTCAGCATCCACATGGTGGCTGACAGCCATCCATGACTCCAGTTTAAAGGGAGTCACTCTTTCTAGGCGCAGTGCCCACTTTTGGCTTCTGCCGGCATTTCACGTATGTGGTGCACTTACAATGGAGGCAAAACACTCATATACATAACAATAAAAATAAACATTAAGATAAGAACTTGCAAAAGTAAGATTTTTAGTCCTTCCTGTGAGAGCAAGATTGGTGGGTTCAGGACATACCCAGGGGATTCTGCTGATGGTGGTATATGGTAGAAGTAGAGAAACACTCACCTCTTTTGTCACTCTTTCTAGGCGTATCAGGAAATTGTAGCCTCAATAAAGAAAAAAGAAAAATGTCCCCTTCAGGGGACTATGGAGCAGAGGGCAGTATGAGAAGTAGGGAGTCTGGAGAGATGGCTCAGTTGGTAAAGTGCTTGCTGTGCGAACTCGAGGTCTTGAATCCAGATCCCCAGCACCCATAAAAAGTCAAGCACCGTAGTATGCTTATAATCCCAGCTTTGGAGCTTGCTGGCTAGACAGTCTAACCAAGTAAGTTTGAGTTCCAGGTTCAGTGACAGACTGTCAAAAAAAAACAAGGTGGAGAGCAGTTGAGGAAGACTCTTAAAGTCATCCTCTGGCCTCTTCATGAACACACATATGTACACACATACACATTTTAAAAAAGTAGCAAGGAACCGGTATGAACGTGTATGTGAGGGTTAGCAAGCACGAAGAACTCTGCAAGTCAGTGCATGTGCACACACTCAGAGGGGGTTTTTGCTTTCTCTGTGGTAGACCTCCAAATAGTGCTTCTTTCATAGAAGTGATACAGATTTACAGATGCTATCCAGGACTAATTAACAATCTCCTAGACTATTCTGACAATTTTGTGCTTCCTAGAGGCTACCTGTATAACCACCCAATAAATATCCAATCACAAGGTCTAGCTCAGATCCTTAAAAGAAGAAGCCTCGGGCTGGTAGATGGCTCAATTGGTAAAGTGTCTGCCATGTAGATATAAGGACCTGAGTTCAGTGCATGCACAGAAGTGGGCATGGTGGGCATCTATAATCTAGTACTGATGGGGGCAGAGATAGACCCCTGAAGCTCACTGGCCAGCCAGCCTAGCCAAATCATCATGAGCTTCAGGTTCAGTGAGGGACCCTGTCTAGGAAAATAAAAGGAGAGAGGAAAGGTGCTGAACATCCACGTCTGGTTTTAACACACACACACACACACACACACACACACACACACACATATGCACGCACACATGCACACACGCACCTGAACCAGCATGCACACATGCCACACCCACACAAAACGTATACATGCTGTACACACAACACAATACACACATTTTAAAAAGTAGCAGCAGCAGCCTAGCCTGAGTGTAGAAGTGTACACTTTAGTCTCAGCACTCAGTGGACTGAAGCAGGAGGATCATGACTTTGAGGAGCCTGAGCTACTTAGAAAGGTCAAAATTTAAAAATTAAAACCAAACCACAGCCAGGAGTGGTGGCACACACCTTTAGTCCCAGCACTCTGGAGGCAGAGGGGATCTCTGTGAGGTCAAGGCCAGCCTGGTCTCCAGAGTGAATCCAGGCCAGCTATGGCTACAGAAAGACCCTGTCTCAAAAAGACCAAAAAACAAACAAACAAAAACAAACAACAGCCAGGCTTGGTGACAGATGCCTTTGATCTCAGCACTTGGGAGGCAGAGGCAGCCAGACTTCTGTGAGTTCTAGGCCAGCCTGGTTTACATAGTGAGTTCCAGGGCAGCTTACAACCTCCCATAATTCCAGTTCCAGGGAATTCAGTACCTTCTTCTGACCTCCATGGGCACCTGCACACATGAAGGACACACACACACACACACACACACACACACACACACACACACGTGTGCATTTAAATAAAATTTAAAAAAATCTTCTAAAAAGCAACTCCAGTTGAACTAATTATTAATTTTTAAATCTTTTTAAAATTTACTTATTTTTATTTTATGTCTATGAGTGTATTGCCTGCATGTTGGTAAGTGCACCTGTGTCATGCAATGCCTGAGGAGGTCAGAAGAGGCTGTCAAATCCCCTCGGACTGGAGTTACAGTCAGTTGTTAGCTGTCATGTGGGTGCTGGGACTCGAACCCGGGTCTTCTGCAAGAACAACCAGTGTTCTTCTTAACCGCTGAGCCATCTCTCCAGCCCAAAGAACTAATTATTAATTTAAACTGCATTTTTGTTTTCTGAGACTGGGTCTCACTGTGCAGCCCTAGCTGGACTGGAAGTCACTATGTAGACCAGGGTGGCCTTGAACTCACAGAGATCCACCTGCCTGTCTCCTGAGTGCTGGGATTATAGGCATGTGCCACCACACCTGGCTTTAAATTTTTTTTTTTTTTTGGTCTTTTTGAGACAGGGTCTCCCTGTAGCCCCAGCTGTCCTGCAACTCACTATGTAGACCAGGCTGGCCTTGAACTCACAGAGATCTGCCTGCCTCTGCCTCCCAAGTGCTGGGATTAAAGGCATGCGCCACCATGCCCAGCTTAAACTACTTTTTAGTAACTATTTATATTTGGCCCATCTATTTCAGAAAGGACTATTTTAGAGTTGTATAGATTTTTTTTCATTCATATATTTATCTCATTTTGAGAGGTGGTCTCATGCATCAAAGACTAGCTTCAAATTCAATAGATATCCGAGGATGACCTTGAACTTCTGATCTTCCTGTCTCCATCTCACAGTGCTGGGATTATAGGTATGCCTGACCAGGCCCCATTTTTGTGGTGTTAAGGATCCAACCCAGGGCTTTGTGTATGCTAGGAAAGCACTCTATCAACAGCTACCTCCAACTTTGTTTTCTTCCTTTTTTTTAAATATTTTATTTGTTATTTTTATTTTATGTATATGCATGTATTGCCTGCATGTAGGTAAGTGCACCTGTGTCGTGCAATGCCGGGGGAGGACAGAAGAGGCTGTCGGATCCCCTGGAATTCCAATTGTTAGCTGCCATGTGGGTGCTGGGATTCGAACCCGGGTCTTCTGTAAGAACAATCAGTGTTCTTAACCACTGAGCCATCTCTCCAGACCCCCAACCCTGTTTTCTTTGTGTTAAAAATTAAGTGAGCATTGCTGTAATGTGTGTGTTTCTCAATATTTTGTTTATTTTCACTTTATGTGTATGAGTGTTTGGTTGCATGTGCATGCAATGTCCTCAGAGGCCAGAAGAGGGTATCAGAACCCCTAGAAGTAGAGTTGCAGATGACTGTGAACTACCATATGGTTGCTGGTTCTCTGCAAGAGCAGCAGGTGCTCTTAACCGATGAGCCATCTCTCCAGTCCCCCCATAATTTGTTTTTATACTCCTTTCCAGTTCTATAAATTAGACAAAAACTTGAGAAGATTAATCAAATTAACAAATGTAATAAAATACAATATATAAAAGACTCCTGGCACAGTGCTTGGCAAAAAGGAAGTACTTGGTAAAATGTTAGTTTTCTATATATATTTTTTTGTTTCTATGATTTACCTGATTATCTGCATTTCTAGCAGATCTGCATCACTTGGTTTTGTTTTACCAGGGAGAAAATACTTTTTTTTTTAAATTTTTAGTGTCATGGTGGAGAATCCAGAAATTCACATCAACTAGGAAAAGTAAAAAGAGGATAAAAGTTGTTTCCTTGATTTTTTACACTGAGAAACATTAGAAGAATAATTGAACAGGGTACTGCACACATTAAGACAATCCTGATACTGTAGAACCCCAAGAATGGGACCAAAGCACTGATAAATCATAG